TTTCCCCTGAGGCAGCACTTTTCAGTTTTAAAAATGCTAAGGTAGATCTATTCATCAAAATTGTTTTCTTTAGATGGAAAACAGTATTACAAGAAAAAGGATGACTTGTTTACCTCCCTGGCCAAGAGCACATCAACAGAAAAGATGAGACAAACACCTTTAGTGAATGGCACAGACCCGAGAAAACAAGCATTCAAAAATCAACTGCAAGCATGACTGAGCCAGACTTGGTGTTTCTTTAAGCATCTGACACCCTAAAAGATCTGAGGCATTAGGTAGAAATATTAACAGAGCATTGATATTCAACCAGACCTGTCTTCCAGCCCCATTTTAATTAATAGGTGTCAACATTTTTATTTAAAACAAATAGGCATTATTGGTTTTCTTTCCAAGGGTTGGCAAAACAAGATATCCTTGAATTATCTACATAGAATTTCAGTAGGAAACTGAGTGACTTGGAAGCTTTATGCCTCCTATCCATACAGTCAAAAACATTTATAGACAAATCTCCTTTCCCAATAAAACTCAAAAACAGCTGATCTACAAAATGAACCAGCAGCAAAGTTTTCAGTCCAAGAGAAGAGTAGCAGAGGCTCTGACCCTGCCAGGAGGGGGCTGTGGCAGTGCAGACCCCCTGCCCCCAGCCCAGGGGTGCCCAGGCAGCACCCTGATCCCTGCAGGTGCACAAGCCACTTGTGCCAGCAGCACTGACACAGCAGCCAGCCCCACCCAGGGAAAGTGAATCCAAACGGATGCAGGATCCTCGGGGTTAATGGATAGCAAGTTTCTGTATTACAGAGCAGTTTGCTCAGCACTTCTTCAGCTGCTGTACCTCCCTAACACACGTTGGATCCTTTAACTCCTCAAAATTTTGTACTCAGGTGCTTTTTTTATTTCCCCTTCTGTGATGATCAACACTTTAAAAATTAACACAGACTGATTCACTTTCATTCTTAGTCCTTCCCAAAGAAATGATGTTCAAAACATGACAGAGAAATAAAAAGGGAAATTTAGGCAAGAAGCAGAACTCTTATTTCCCCCACAAACAATACTGCCCCAGGCTCCCAACGAGCATCCATGGAAAATCAAACCAAGAGTAAACTCAGGTTTCTGCTTTATCCTGCCTCAAATGGCAGTGCATAAAGAGAAAGGTTGACAGATGAGTCTGGTACTCAGCAGCAGGGAATAGCTCATATAGGCTTCATTATCAGATCATGGAATAAATGTGTAGTAGGTTAAATTATTTAATCCCCTAAATTAAGCAGAGTTAAACCAAGTGAACACTCCAATATCCAGTATGAATCTACCACTCCCAGGACATTATTTCATGACTTTGCAGTATATAACAAGACACTTGCAATGTTTATGTTCCCATCTCCATTTATCAAGCTCTTGTCATAGGTCGCACAACTCCACAAAAAATACATTTGAAATTATACTCTTGTATCTTTGTGACACAAAAGTTGTGGCTGCCCCATCCCTGGAAGTGTTGAAGGGCAGGTTGGATGGGGCTCTGAGCAACCTGGCCCGGTGGGAGGTGTCCCTGTCCATGCAGGGGGCTGGAACTAAATGATCTTTAAGGTCCCTTCCAACCCAAAGCATTCCATGATTCTATGATGACCATGTTCATCTCTCAGTCCCACAGTTCTGCCATCAGCACCACAATTTATCACACTGCAAATAAGCAGCACCAAGACTCACACAAAGCTCCTCAGCTTCTCCTAGGAGCGTGTTTGGTGCAACCTGCCAGCTCCCAGTGATTTCTTGGGATCTTTTGCTTTTACAGCTTTTGTCATTAATAACTCATTAACTGCTTTCTGTGAAGGCAAATATGTTGAAACTCTTCAATTATTTCCCCTGCCAGTATCTCTGTCTGAGCTTACTGATTGTGGATTCAAATGTTTTGAACATCTTGCAAGCTTTGACTTCTTGCCAAGGTTGTCTTCTTCTACACCAGATTTCTCCATACACCTCACAGTTATCTCCTCCCTGCAGCAGTATTCCATGCTTAGTTTTGGGCCTGTTTCCTAAAGATCCCTAATACATTATTTCTTGTTTACTTTCTCCCAGCTGGTTTTTCTTTTTAAAGTCTTGACATTTCCAAATAATTCCCCAGAAGATGGTTTAATTGTTTCTCCAACTGCTTTATCTATTTTTCATGCATTTTTATCCTAAAAATATACTCTAGAGTTGAACATGTTTAAAGAGATCAAATTAATTAATGCCTCAAGGAATGCAAGGCTCAAATTCTGAACACATCTGCCGGACAACATTTACAAAATGGTTTAATTTCTCCTCTTTCCATTGATTCAAACTTTTCAAAACAGTGTATTCAGAGGAACATCAGGTTCTTAGAAGTATATTTTACAACTCCTGAAATATTTTATCTGTAGCCTTTAATGCTAAATGTATAAAAGTATTTACCACCCCTCCAATAAAAAAAACCAACACGACAAATCAAAAAACCTCAAAACACAACATCTAAAAAGCATCAGGTTTACTTAGATTAACTGACTTGGATGCTTCAAAGTATATTTCAGGTCACATTCACCTCCAAAAATATTAAGATTGAGGGTTTTTTTCCTGGAAACTATTTCCTGATCATGTGTGTTTAATGATCAATTCAATGTAACAACAGCTGTAATAAGCTTTAAATAAATTAATTTCTAAGTTTTAAAGATATCCAAGAAAACCTAGGATGAAGTGGTGACAAACCACAACCAAAAAAATCTGGTTTTACTTCCCTGTAAAAGCTTTTTGTGCAGGTCTGGCAAGGAGTTTAAGTTATCTTTCAAAAAAAAAGCCCACTTGAGAAAGCCACAGGTCATTTTGTATTTATTTCATTTTCCAAATGAGAGCCTGCCCTCTTGTGTGAGACTGAGGTTCAGCACCACACAGAGGCAGGAAGACCAGCCCTGCTTCTCGGCTACTTAGAAAACATGAACCTTCCAGTGCTTTTTTTAGTGGATTGTGCTGCTTCTGCTGAACAAGGAACACATAAAGCAACTCCCTAATCTAATGCCCTCTCTGCAACATGAATAAAATGATTTATAGTTTGCTTGTTATCTTGATCTATAAATTAGAGTCAATTTGGAAATATTTAAGTGCAAAGGCAATTTTGGAATTGGTTGCTTCCCTCACCTTTTGGACAAAGGCAGAGATAACAGAACAAAGAAGGTACTTCTCTGCCCGACTGTGACAAATAAAGGAGAAAATGAAACACAGGGAATTCACTGGGACTTTCTGTTTTGTTTTTAGCCCTTACCCCAGTTAGTGAACTCTAAAGGCATCTACTTCCTTAAGAGAGTAGGCCAAGCACATCTGAGTCACAAGTGAGTTGTGAAAGCCACTGATGTCACTTATTTTTGTCAAGATCGAGAAATCAAACCCACTCAAACCCATCCTGCCTCCTGCCCACGACAGGCACTTCATAGTCAGCACAAGCTGGAACTGTTAATCCAGCTGCCCCAGCAGCAGCACTGCCACAGAACACCCAGGGCAAGGCATTCCATATGGATACACACAGCCAGAAAGGGACAAGCTTTCAGGTGTCTTTGAAATTCAGAAGGTTCATCCCCCAGACCAGTGAGGCCCCTCAGACCCAGACAAATAACCAGTAACACCTACTTTCGAAGGTGCTCGTGTTCCTTCAGGAATAGTTCTGTTCTTCTGTTATTCACACCAGACCCACTTTTATATGACCTGAAATGTAAAAAAAACCAGTAAGTATTGGAAAATGTTTTTTTCTTGAAGCTTTTCTTTAGGCATAGATAGTCATTAGATTAATCACAGCATAATAAAATGGTTCAGGTTGGAAGGGACCTCAAAGATCATCAGGATCCATCCTCCCTGCTATGAGCAGGGACACCTCAGTGTGTTTCTTAACTGATGTAGGTATCTAACATGCTTTTACTCCCAAGTGACCACACAGAAAAGTTCCAGACCTTTTTCATGTGATTTGCCATAGCTTTACAGCTTTTCTTTAAAAACATTACTTTCTTTTCAGTGAGTAAAACCAAACCAAAACAGAATCTTATCATGACCTTAAGAAAAGCCATCAATTCCAGTAACTTTTTGCTTCATTCAGAATGCAGATCAATAAGCTCTGCCAGGTGTTCTCCTACAGGAGGGTTTCCACCTTCTCCTCTGAGGACAGTCCCATCCCATGGCTGTAACACACACCACAACTTACTCTATATCTTTTCTTACTGATCCCAACAGGTTCTCCCTTTCTCGTATTGCCAGGAAATTTGCTTTGGTTTTGTGGAATTCGTGTGTATAATCCTGTAATAAAACAATTATTCCAAACTTAGGATCCTGAGTTCAATTTAACAACACAATATACTCAAGTAAGATCCAACCATCTATTAAAATGCTTGCTGCTTTCCAACACAATGTACAAAACCAGGGAATTAACATTAAAAAAATGCTTAGAAGTTCATGCAAAGTATTTTTAAAGCTCTCTGCTCTTTCAGTAGGTGTTCACTTTTGCTAGCTAAGGTCAGAGGGAAAGCCACTGTAATTCCTTCTCCCAATCTCACACATCTTCACCTTATTTGGCATGGTAAAGAAGCTTATTTTTTGTTAAGTTACACCAGATGAAAAAGGAGTATTTCCTGAATTATGAAAATGATCTTATAATTTTCAAGTTGCAATTTTACACGTGAAAAATTTCAGGCAGCTAACGCTGCTTGAAAAGCAGTTTAACTGGCAACTAGTGTGCACCAAAAATCACTGTGAACATTCAGCACCATTTTTCACATGAATACCATGGCTCTTACCAAGCACTAAGCTTTTTACTTTGTGTTCCGCACAGATATGAAGCAGAAACCAAACTGTGTATAACCAGCTAGATAAAACATGTATTTTTAACATTACTATGCCATGAAAACACCACCAGCTTGAAACACAATTGATTTATAACACTAACTAGTAGTGTCTCCCTCCCTTTAGCTGTTTAGGTAGTTTGACAAATATGTTTTCTTATCTTAAATGTGATGTTTCCTCTCCTATTGCTACATCACAGCCCACGCAAGCAGTAATTAATTGAATTCAAAATAATTCAAAATAATTCATGAGTCCCTCTCATGTATTAAAACCACCTACATAAGATCATCTGCTTTACTACTGATTCTCAGTGAGGTGCCAGGCACCAATATCACGATGGAAATGCTACTTTTTCAACTCCAGAGTTCACTTCTTGGAGTGCCTGGAGAGCAGAAAAGCAAGGTGGGATGGGTGGCATTTACATCTTCTGGTAAGATATTTAAGGACACTGTGATATCAGCACTGATCATAATTCTTCCAAACAAAGGAAGATGCTGAAAGAAAGAAGGCCTCGTGTCTGTACCTGCAGGATGTCTCTGTGGCGCTGCAAGGTGTGCATCAGAGCAGCATTCAGGGAGGGGACTCCTGCACTGTTTGTGTATTCTGCCATTTTGTCATTTATTCCAGTCAGCTGGAGGGAGGGAAAAGCACAACAAACCCATGAAACGGATTGTTCTTTGTGAGAGAGCTACAATGGCCAAGTATCTCCTCCCATTCCTCACAGAACCTGAACGGCAGTTTTTCCTGAAGTAAAATCACTTGAATTACCTTTCCCAGGAGTTGCTCAATCTCCACAGCCATGGTCTCAAACATTCTGTCCTGGCTTGATCCATTTAAGAGAGGAGTTGTGTCAGAGCTAAAGAAAAAGAGGAGGAGCAGTCACTGAAAAGCACAGTAGCTTTTCATTAATGCAAGAAATCAGGACATATTAACATCAGGTGTTGGCAAACTCCACTACCCAGCTTTCATAAAGAGATTAATTAAGCTCAGGAACAGTACATTTCCTTATCACACATGCCTTTAGCTCTTATCTGAGCTAATGAGACAGTATCAGTCAGGGAAAACAGAATCTCTTCTTAGAAAAGACTTGTCTACTACCAGCACACAAGTAGCACCAGTGCTTCCAGAACCAGAAATTAATGGAAAGGTTAAAAAATTGATTCAACCATTGAATTTAATAAATAAATTATCAACACACACACCCCTTCTCCCCAACTTCTAAGCTTGATTTATTTATGGGCAGGAAGGAGCACTGCACTATGAGCACATTTTACCACCCAAATAATTACATCTTAATTACACAACCCACTGACCTATTCAGCAGCCAGGGCTCTGCAGAGCAATACAAACCACCCCCTTTATCACAGTTTCATCCAGCTCTGTGCTTTTTAAGATAAACTAAAACCACAATGAAAAGTTCCAGCTGGGCAACAGAACAGAAGCACAACACTGGGCAGGCCACCCTGCAGGAGTGTAGCAACTAACCCCTCTCAGAGGCTACTCTTTGCTTTGGGAAGCCACTACACCTCGAGTAGACAGCAAAAATAACTAAAATAATTAGACTATGCAGCAGGTAATACCATACAGAGCCAGAGATGAGAGATTAGGACACTGATTCAAGATGATCATTCCTAAGGCTCTCTCAGGCTTCCTGAACCAGCAATTCATGGAAAGGTTCAAAAATTGGTTCCATCATCGAACTAAAAAAATACTAATTACAGAATACCAACATCCATACGCACAGTAGTCACAGCTGATACACAGTGTTGTGACCCACAGTCCAGAAGCAAAGGCTGGCAGTTTTCAAAGTTTGTGCACAGAGACAGAGAAGCTGATAATTAGTGCTGTGGAACTGCAGGGAAGACCTCAACTCTTGACAAGTTTCATCCTACTAATTCTTCAGTCAAGAACAAACCTGTCTAAAGCAAACAGGAACCATTCACATGCACAGGTGTACACAGATCCAGTTCAGGTGTGTAAAAACATCTATAGAGTTCTCACTACTAGTACTTATCTCAGGAGAAAGCCAGGCAGCAGCAGCTGCCCCTCATAGGAAGGGCTGCTCACCTGCACAACCCTGGAGCAGTCACAGCTCCACTTCCCTGCTCCCCTGAGACTGAAGTCCCTGACGACTCCCTGTTAGTTTAATAAAACTTAAAAATTGGCAAATAAGCCGATATAACGTGCATTCAAAAGCCAGATCATTATTGCACCAAGACCAACACCAGCACCAAGAAGTGCCGAAAGGAGCTTCCTCAGGAGTTCAGCAGAAAAGCCACAGGTGGGACCAAGCACTCAGCAAATCATGGACCCAGGAGCACAAGCGGCGTTTAAAACAAAAAGAAACGGGCTAGTACCTATACCTGTCGCGCCTTCCGTCTCGGCTGCTGCTGTAGCTGGTGCAGAGTTTGCTGAAGGAGACCAGCTTCAGGTCCAGCTCGTTCTCCAGCTGCCGCGCCTGCTTCCTGAGATCTGCACGGGGACAAGTCACAGACCCGCGCCCCGACCCCGGGGGGGCGAGACTGCCCGGGCTGCTTTCTCGGGAAAACCGGCACAGACTCCTCAGGAGTCCCAGCGAGGGGAACCCCGCAGGGAAAGGGGGGGAATGACCTCACAACCCAGAAAGCACCCAGGGCTGAACACCCCGTCCCGCAGCGCCGCGAGGGGCCGGGGCCGCCCCCCTCCCCGCTCCCCCCGGGTC